TAATGGGAAAATTTGGTTATTTGCATCCTTTGAAACTGAAATCATTAAAACACCACGATATTTTGACTTCAAAAAAGTTGTATCAACAGCAATCACTGGTCTACAATGATTCCAACCAGCTATTGATGATCCATATGCATAAAACATATAAAGAAACCTGAAAATACAATATAAAATAAGGTTAAAATACCTGAAGTTGTAACGACCCGACCGGTCGTTTTTGGAAATTACGCCCCGATCCCCCATTAACTGTTTCCCCTAAGTTTATTTCTGCTATTTTGGTCTGCCGGGACGTTCGGTGTTGAGTTTCGGAGAGTTTTGGGACACTTAGTCCCTAAACGAGAGCTTAAGTGTTGAAAAATGGTCCGTAGTCGGAACAGTGTGAAGACGACCTCGGAATGGAAATCTGACGGTTCCGTTAGCTCCGCTAGGTGATTTCGGGGTTGGGAGCGTGTTTGAAATGTATTTTGGAAGTCCGTAGCTCATTTAGGCTTGAAATGCCGGAGTTTGTATTTTTGAAGTTTCCGGTCCGATAGTGAGTTTTTGATCCGAGGGTCGGATTGGAATTCCGGAAGTTACAGTAGTTCCGTCATGTCGTTTGGGATGTGTGTGCAAAATTTCAAGTCATTCGGATGAGGTTTGGTTAGGTTTTTGATCGAAAGTGTGTTTGGTTGGAATTTGAGGTTCTTAGACTTAAATCTTTGATTAATTCGGGTTTTCTGCGTTGCTTTAGGTGTTTTAAGGATTGGTACAAGTTCAAATAAGGTATTAGGTGGTATTGGTGCTTTTGGTTGAGGTCCCGGGGGCCTCGGGATGATTTCGGGTAGTTGACGGAAAAATTTTGAAGTTGAATGAATTGCTGAAGGTCTGTCATCTGGTATTTCCGCTTCTGCGGCTTGGGAAGCGCAGAAGCGGAGCCGCAGAAGTGGCTGGTCCTCCGCAGGAGCAAAATTTGAGTGCTTCTTCAGTTTTCGCAGGTGCAGAAGTTTAACCGCAGAAGCGGTTACGCACCTGCGAGATGGTAGTCGCAGATGCGGTCCTTGGGATTTTGTTTGAAACCGCAGAAGCGGTAATGAATCCGCATAAGCGGCAACCGCAGGTGCGGTGAAGGGGCCGCAGAAGCGGAAATCTTGACTTTAATGAAGAACCGCTGAAGCGGCTCGTGGTCCGCAGAAGCGGGACCGCAGAAGCGGTCCCTTGTCCGCAGAAGCGGAAACCCCTGGTCAGAAATAGAGATGTCGAGGGTTTGAGTTCATAGGTTGCAAAAAATCAATTGAGAGCTCGGTTTAAGGCGATTTCGAGTGGGATTTGAAGTGAAGATCATTGGGTAAATTTTCTTTGATCCCTTCTCGTTACATTTCATCATTTTATAGTTAAATACGCCATTGGAATTCGAATTTAGGATCAAAAATTAGAAGAAACTTCATAGACCTAATTACTGAGTTTTGAGTGGGCAATTGACCTCCGATTTGGGAGATTTTTATATGGTTAGACTCGTGAGAGTACGAGGGTTCTGAAAATGTGAAAATTATTCGATTCCGAGACGTTGGCTGGAGGGGCATTTTGGTCATTTTACCTATTTTTGCGCCCTAGCTGTAAATTTAATAGTGGAATCGGTTGTTTGCAATATTACTTACGATACGTAATTGAATTGAATAGATTTGGGCCTTTTGGAGTCGGATACTCGTGGCAAAAGTGTAATTTCGAGTTGATTTTGGTGCCGATTCGAGGTAAGTGGCTTGTCTAACCTTGTGTGGGGGACCTTTTCCCTTAGGATTTGTTATTTGTTGATTTGAGTGCCTTGTTCGCGAGGTGACGGGCGCGTACTTGAGCCAATTATTGAAAATCCGGCTTCCTTAAGATATTGAGATTGAGTTCCTTTCATATTTGCTTTATTCTACTTGAAATTATAACCTGTGCTAGATTAGAAAAGCATGTTTAGTTGATTTAACTTGCCTAATTGTTTAAGTTGCCTTGACTGTACTACGTGAAGCATGCTAGGCTAGTACTACCTGCTGTTTGTTTTTGGTACTCCATTTTTGAATATCTTCTGGTTGTGGTTGCGCATTTACATTGGGACTACGGATGNTCCAAGTTATAAAGTTAAGGACATGTTGTCCTTAACTTTGATTTCAAAGTTCAAAACTTAAGGACTGGCAGTCCTTAACTTTGAATTACAAGTTCAAAACTTAAGGACAGCCAGTCCTCAACTTCTGGTTACAACTCAAAAGCTAACAATGTTAAAGATAGCATGTCCTAAATTGTTTACCTGTTATTGTCGTCTATCTTTATGTTAGTATAAGTTCCCGGGTTTTTACTTGTCATCATATACAAGTATGAAGACAATAATTCATAATTCTCTTCGAGACTTCCTCTTATTAAGGCGGAAGCATGTTGAATAGCACGTCACGCCTTGTGATATCTAGTCCATGCAATTTTTGCATCTCTGCCATGACAAAAGCTGGTGTAACTTCAAATCTTGGGTCTCGAAGATTGTCGATAATGTAACCACTAATCAACTTTGAAGTAGCATGCCTTTGATCTGCTTTCATAGTGTTAACAGAGCAGTCATGCTTTTTCTCAATCTTTACTATCTTGAACAGTGTTGAATCTTTAATTCTGAAAGCTCGCACACACCAACAACACCTATCATCATTGCATGTCAACGAATATCTTGTTGAGCTTGATCTAACAACCTTGAATTCAAAATGTCCTTTGATTGCTATATTGGAAAAACAGTTAATTATACTCTTCTTCTTGTCAAATACTGATCCGACTTTTATTTCATCCAACGAAGCATTTTCTCTTAATATCGTAGTTGGGGATTCTTTTTGTTTCAAATTTGATCTTCGTCTAGTTATTTGAGTACATGTTTTTTCAGCAACTTCTTCGATTGCCGGTGCACTCTCTAAGACTTGAATACCCAAAGCTTGTTCGTTGTCAATCTCTATAATGCTTTGTCCTTCTACTTGAATAGAATCAAATGTTTGAAGCACCTCTTCATTTAATGGTTGAGCTTCAACCATATATATTTCCATTATCTGTTGGCATTTGTCTTGATTGTCATGTTGAGTTTCTGTGTTGACATGTTCATTGCTTGTTGATGGAAAAACTCTTTCCGAAATATCAACTATGAAACGACAGCCCTTGAAGAGTGAATGTATTTTTAGCAACTCTATACATGTGTGAAGATCAGAATCTTTGGATACAAGCATTCCTTTGCTTGTTCCAAGGTTGATATCAAACCATATCAACTGCTTCAAAACTTTTCTCTATCCAATTCAATTAGACTCAAAGATCTGTTTAATGAAATCTTCAAACCGAATTGACTCAGGTACTAGAAAAAGCTTTGTTTGATGATCAAGATATTTATAGTCTTCAGTCCATCTACCATTAAAAGCAACTATAATGCATATTGTTTCCATCCTGCAAGTCAAGAGAATGGGAAACTGAGGACATACGTTATAAAGCACTCCTTGTATAATTAAGAAGAGGTGTACTGTAAGTGCAAGACCAAGGTAAGGACTAAGTGTGCTTAACATTTTAACTTGAAATTAAAAGTTAAGGACTTCCAGTCCTTAACATTTGAACTTGGAATTAAAACTTAAGGAATGCCTATCCTTAACTTTTGAACATGGAATTAAAAGTTAAGGACTGCCAGTCCTTAACTTTTGAACTTGGAATTAAAACTTAAGGACTGTCTGTCCTTAACTTTTGAGCAAGACATTAAAACTTAAGGACTGCCAGTCCTTAACATTTAAACCTGGATTTAAAAGTTAAGGACTGCCTGTCCTAAATTGTTTAACCTGCAAGTCAAAACTTAAGGACCGCATGTCCTTAACATTTAAACTTGGAATTAAAAGTTAAGGACTGCCTGTCCTAAACTTTTTAACCTGCAAGTTAAAAATTAAGGACTTATGTCCTTAACTTTTCAATCTATAATTCTAACTTAAGGACTTTCTGTCCTTAACTTTTTCAATTTGAAACTCAAACTTCAGGACTTAGTATACAGAAGAACAACAACAAAGTGAAGGACATTGTGTCATTAAGTTTTTCAATTCAATTTGCAAAATGAGGACAGTAGAATCAAAGTTAAGGACATTGTGTCCTTATTTTTTGAATTCAATTTCCAAAATGAAGACACTATGTCCTTAATATTATGTGCTCAAGTTTTATAGAATTATCATAGGAGGCGATGTCCTTAAGTTTATCAATCCAGAAATTCAAAAAAAATAAATCAAATTCTTATCTATTATATAATCAAATCAATACAAATCGGAAAAAGTATAACTATATCGAAGTAAAAATCGATAGAAACACATGAAAGTATAACTTACTGTTTATCTATGTCGATTTTTTGGATGAGAATTTTGAATTTTTCGTCCAGTCGCTGCTGCTGCTGCGATCGCCGGCTGCTGCTGCTGCTTTTGGTTTTCGTCGAGTGTGTTATAATAGCGTAGATATAACTTATATCAGAAGGGTATTTTCGTCCAGTCAGGTATAAGTTTATTAAAATAGTGGCTAAAGCTTAAATACATTGAAAACAGTGGCTTTAAAATAAAAGCAGCTGCTTTTAGTGGCTATTTGTGCACTTCGCCTGCCTGTTCTAGTCTGCTCCAGTGTACTGGTACAAATATAATTACTGATGTGGCATGACACCTCGTCAGAGAGAAATTCAGTTTTTTCCGACGTGGCATAACATTTCCACGTAGGATCCAAGCAGGAATAGTCTGTTATGGGCGACGGCGAAGACAGCGGAGAGACAAGAGACTGGACCAGTTGCCACTTTGGTTTGGTGGGACCACTTAACCATTTGAAGTGGGCCCCCCGCCTAGATATTAAGCCGTGGGTCACAGCCGATCCAAACCCTACTGCGGGGCCCAGTACTTTTGTGGGGTGGGGGCCAAACGTGGGGCCCATTGAAAAGTGTGTTGCCTTGTGCACTAGTGTCTATTTATAACTGTATAAAATAACCAAACCAACCCAAATTACACACACTTTCTCTCAACTCTTTGTTTTTTGGGGCACTAGAAGTGTGTTTTTCAATCTAGGTATTTAAAATGACTAAACAGAATGTGGTGGTTTCCGATCCTAATTCCGGTATCAACACCGCCACATTCACGGCGGCGGTACATAAGCCGCCACCGGCGCCGGGAAGTTGCATCAACATTTCAAGAAAGACACTTGTTGACATAAATAGTGGTCCAAGAATCAATTCTTGGGTTGATTCAATGAGAGCTTCATCTCCAACTCATCACAAGTGCACTTCTCTCTCTGAAGACAATACTTCTTGGATGGTGAGTTCAATCTTAACAACCTTACCCTCACCAATAATAAGTGAAAGAAAAACAAGAAGATAAGAAAAAGCTGAAAACTTCCTCTTTATTAGCCTTTGGTGCATGGAGTCTGCACGAAATACGAAAGTAGTTAAGAATTTTGAAACATGTGATCTTTAACATGCCATAATATATGTGTAGTTATAAGACTTTTCAAACTTGTAAATTACAAGTTGTAATCTTCGGCATGCAGCAGTGCAGGGTAAGACTGCGTACAATAGAACCTTGTGGCCCGGTCCTCCCTGGACCCCACGCATAGCAGGATCTTAATGCACCGGACTGTCCTTTAATCTTAAACATGTCGTAACTCATAAAGTTTGTGTCATTATGAAAATATGTAATTTTGTAGAAGGGACTAATAAGGAATAATAGTGTCACATAAGATGGAACAGATAAATAATTATTTTTGATGCGTACCCATGTAATAATTGATGCCATTTGAGATGGGAACAAAAAAAAAACAGATGAAAAAAAGTTCTTGTGTTGATTAAATGAAACAGGTGCACCATCCATCAGCACTGGACATGTTTGAGCAGATAATCAGTGCTTCTAAAGGAAAGAAAATGGTGATGTTTTTAGACTATGATGGCACCCTTTCCCCCATTGTTGATGACCCTGATCAAGCTTTCATGTCTGATGCTGTAAGTCTTTTCAACCAACTTCAAACTTCCTTCTTTGAATTAAAGTTATATACATATATATATAACTTTGTTTTACATCATCAGTGCAATTTAAGCAGATTATTTATTAAAGGAGAGCCTTGAAGCAACGATAAAGTTGTTTCCGCGTGAGATATAGGTCACATATTCGAGCCGTGGAAGCAGCCACTAATGCTTGCATTAATAGGCTGTTTATACTAGACCCCTTAGGGTGCGACCCTTTCCCAAACCTTACATGAAAGCAGGACGCCTCGTGCACACGACTGCCTCTTTTTATAATAGATTGTTTATCATTTATTCTAGATTACCTGTCAATCTTATTAAATATAGTTATTTGTCATTCTATTTTACCTAATTTAACTATGCAAATGTTTATGACACCATTAGTACTGCTGCACAGATTTTGAAAGTCTTCATATATTTTCTAAGTATTTTTACTATTTATTCCAACCTCCTCAACCCTTTATTACTGTGTATCAGATGAGAGGAACAGTGAGAAAGCTTGCTAGATATTTCCCAACTGCTATAGTTAGTGGGAGGTGCAGAGACAAGGTACATCTTTTTCTTTTTTTGTCCTATCTTCTTTTTAAGTCCTTTCATTTAAGTTTAGTATTTTTTCAAGATTTCTTCTTTTTCTGTTTTTTTTTTAGGTTTATAAACTGGTTTTTATTTATTCTCTCTTTTTGGTTTTGCAAAATTATAGGTATATAGTTTTGTACAATTGGCAGAGTTGTACTATGCTGGAAGCCATGGCATGGATATAGAAGGTCCTTCAAAAGGTTCCAAATACAAGAAAGTAAGTGAACTGGAGTTATATTCTTTTCCTTTTCTCTTTTTGTTAAATGATCTGCTAACTTTTATACAATAAATAAAACTCTTATCGGATCAGTGTATTTTAGTATGCGGTACCAGTGGTTAAGCTAGAAAATTCAAAAAAGGTGATCAAATTTGAACATCATTTGTCAGTTGGCTATGCAAGGGTATTCAAAGTCTAATTTTTTAATCAATAACTAAATGTTTTATCGTATATATAATATAATTTTTGGGCGAATGGTGTTCAATTGACCACCCTTTGCCACACATAGCTTCACCCCTGGTGGTAGTATATTAGTTGTCTTATTTGTTCAGGTTACTAATCTCACTTATAATAAGCGACTACGTGTTGGTATTTTTTAAGTGACTTGATAGTATAAATTTTTTTACACTGTCACTGCAAGTTAAAATCTTGTTAACTTATTTTAATTCTTGAAATTCCAGGGAGCTCAAGCTGTTCTTTTCCAACCAGCAAATGAATATCTCCCAATGATTGATGAGGTAATTATCCATTATATTCATAAATAAAGTATAAAGTAAATTATTGTTGACAAAAAATTACAATGTTTATTTGATATTTTTCTTGATATGAAAATTACAGGTTTACAAAAAATTGTTGGATAAAACAAAGTCTATTGAAGGTGTTAGAGTGGAGAATAACAAGTTTTGTGTCTCTGTACATTTCCGCTGTGTTGATGAAAAGGTATGTAAAAGTTCCATATACTTTTTTCCCTTTCAATTATGACAAGATTGAATGTTACTCCTCCATCCCATAAAATAATGTAGTGACATACTTTTTTTTTTTTTAGTTTGTTAAAAAAGGATAATGATTTTCTTTATTCAGAAATAATTTACCTTTAAACTTATCATTTTATCCTTAATAAAATAATTTTATAACTATAACAATATTCCTAGCATATACCATAAATTTTAAAAGATATTTTCTTTTCAAAATTCAAAAGGGCAATCCGTTGCACAACATATCCCGTATTCACACAGGGTCCAAGGAAGAGTCGCACCTCAAGGCGTGTGATGTAGACAGCTTAAGCTAATGCAAGCACTACTGGCTGTTTCCGCGGCTCAAACATGTCATGACCTATAGGTCAAATGGAGATAACTTTAACATTGCTCCAAGGCTCCGCTTCTCTCCGGCCAATCAAATATTGTCACATAAAGTGGACTAATGGAGTATTATATATCATCCATGTAACCATTCGAAAGTAAAAATAAAAGAAGAAAAATTAAGCATCTTTTTAGGTTAGACAAAGCATATGTTAAAAGCACAAATAATGTTAAGGTATTTTTAAAGACTCCCAACTTTAAAAAAGTTTAAGAAAATATCTGATTTTATATATGTTACAGAAATGGGGTGAACTAGCACAACATGTAAGATCAGTGCTAAAAGAATATCCAAAGCTTCGATTAAGCCCAGGGAGAAAAGTATTAGAGATTCGTCCAACTATTAAATGGGACAAAGGAAAAGCTCTTGAATTTTTGCTTGAATCCCTTGGTAAGTATCTAGTTTTTGAATTATAATAACTATTTTTATTTATATACTATATATTATCACCAAAATAAAATATTGAAAAAATCAACTATTTAATGCTAATTATTTTTAGAATTAATCTTTCTTCAACAGGGTACGCTAATTGTACTGATGTCTTTCCTGTATATATTGGAGATGATCGAACTGATGAAGATGCTTTCAAGGTTTCCTATGTTCTTCTTCCATTTTTTTTTTTAAATTTATTAAAATACAGTTTATGTTAACTTATTTTAGATGGTTATCTACCTACTTATTTTGAATTATTACTTACAATCGTCCTTTAATTGACTTAATAGAGTAAAAGTTACTTTATCTGTTCCATTTTTTATGTGGCAAAGTTTGAATAAATATGAAATTTAAGGGGAAAAAAAAGAAATACTATTAAAACTTGTAGTCTAAAATAAGTTATAAATATTTGCGTGACTATAAATTATCTTATTATGGATAAAATAAAAAGTTTATAGCTAGCATATTTTCAAAGTTAGAAAGTTGTCATCCTTCTTAAACAGATTAAAAAGAAAATATTGTCAAATAAGGTGAAACAGAGAAACTAGTTTATACTGTCAATATATAAAAGTTAAGCTCTTTGTTATTTTTAATTAAACCATTATTTGTTGTTACTGCAGGTATTAAGAGAAAGAGGGCAAGGTTTTGGCATTCTAGTCTCCAAAACTCCAAAAGACACATACGCATCCTATTCTTTACAAGAACCATCCGAGGTTAGAATCTTATAATATATTAGGTTTCTGTTCAGTCTTGTTTGTTTCGATATTTTTTGATCGATATAGTAAAGTGCTGTTATAGAAAACACACATTACACATAATACTTATAAAACATGGCTCCAAAGAAAATTTGATCGTTATAGTGAAGCGTTATTATAGAAGATGACTGTTAATTATAGAGAGATCTCACTGTATTATTTTCTCACTTATTTCCATTTGTTGTGTTTATATTGTACAACTTTAGTGACTTTTTGTTAAAATTGCTTTGGCAGGTTATGATTTTTCTACGACGGTTAGTAGAGTGGAAAAGGTTGTCTTTAAGAAGACAGTTTAAGATTCAAAAACAACTTGAAGAGATAAAAGCATCTCTAAAGAACTGAGAATTGTCCAATTAATTAGTAGTGCACATAATATGCTTTTTTTTTTTTTTTGTTTATAATAAATAACTAAAAAGGTTAGAAGAACAAAAATAGATGGGATAGAAAAGAGGTGTATCTTTTCTCATTAGCTTTAAGGCCTTGTACATCTTTGTAAGTAGCTTTTGTATCTGGGCTAAATGCATAAAATGGAAATCCGCCATAATTTCATATTTTGGTTCTGACTTGTCTCATGAGCAGAACTTCAATTTTTTTTTCTCAAGTGATTGATACTTGATAGAAACTTATTATTGTCCAAGAGGACGATCAACATATTTGAACTTTTAATTTATTTATATCGGTTGAACTTATACGCATTGATAATATAAAAAAAGATACACTCTCGATGTCAAGTTAACCTGTTATTTTAATTTCCAAATAAATAAAAAAGGGCTTGTTGGCAAAAAAGTTGAAGTGCGGCCTGTAGAGCACATGTAATTAAGGCACAATCAGGTTGTTCATGCAACGGATCTTTCTCTATCTGTAATAATGAAATGTCATCCCAACTTAATTCGAGACCAAAACTCCTTACAACTCACAATAATGGCCCCACTTGGAGACTTGGGATCTCACCAAGAAATGTGAAAGTTGCTTAAATCCGGCCAATCAAAGATAATCAACTAACTTAGTTCTAAAGGAGTAAGTTCATAAAAGGGATTACTCTAGCCCTCATCTGAACAAGATAAATACAAATTAAATATTATAGAGTGACAATATATAGCTGGAATATTTTATTATTCCAAATTTCCAATGAATTAAGCAGAAGATTAGGCCAACCATTGGTATCAAGATCAGAAGAATCTCCTTGTTTTAGCTCTTCTACCAATGGTTTTATTGTTAGAGTGAGTTATGTAAATTGATTGACTTTCCTTTCATAAAGTAGATCTTGTAATCAATTAATAGGTGTCATCTTAATTGTAAATCAATTGGCATATTCTCTAGGATTGTACTAGCATATTTTTTTTGTGATTGTAAATATCTTCCCATATCTGTGTAACTCTATATATTGTATAGTTGATTCATAATGAAATATACTACAATTTCACCCATTTTTGAGTTGGTATCGGAGCAACGGTTGCTTCTCTGATTATCATCATCTGTTTATCCTTATTTTCCTTATTCTACCATGGGTGATTCATCTAAGAAACCAATCTTGTACCAAAACCTCTTTCCATTCCTTTTGGTGTAAAACTCAATGGCAAAAATTATTTTCTTTGGTCTCAAGTTGTTAAGACTTTTGTTGCAAGTCGTGGAAAATTGGGATATTTAAGGGGAACGATTAAGGAACCCTCCACCTGATCCCACGTATGAAAAATGAAGCGTAGATAATGTTATTGTTAAGAGTTGGCTTGTCGATCGGTGCCATGGAACCCGACATTATGAGTTTATTTGTTCGTCTTCCGACGGCCAAGAGTATCTGGGACACCATGTCTCAAACCAACTATGAAGGGGCTGATAGATTAGTCATTTATGATCTCTCTTGTCAAGCTATGCGTATGAAACAAGAGGGAAAATCAGTTTCCACATTAGAGATTTGTGCAAAATATGACAGGAACTAGATCATCGGAAGCCAATCTCTTTCACACAACTTGATGTTATTCATGCTCGACTGAAAGACATTGAGGAAGAATGCGTTTATATTTTCTTGGCTGGTTTGGATGATATTTATGATCGTCCCCAAAGTGATATTCTTCGCACAAGTCCTTTTCCTAATCCAGAATCTGCTTTTTCTATGGCTCAAGTGAAGAACAACGGAGGAATACAATGCTAAGCAATACTACAGATCTTAGTATAGCTATGGTAGAAAAAACCTCCTTGATCCAGAATCAAAATTACCATTTAAGAACTCGCAACAATGGTGAAAAGGGTTGTGCTCATTGTGGAAATCCTAAACATGGTGTAGAAAATTGTTTTAAATTGCATGGCTATCCAGATTGGTGGGATCGTTTAAATGAAAAGAAGTTTCGGGAGCGATGCAATGGAAAGGAGGGTGAAAAGAATGAGGGAAAAGCTGTTGCAATGGTGTCATCAGGCACTTCACTGCCAACTGCTGGAACTGCATCATTAGTTTCAACTGAAATTGTTGATTCTGATATACGTAGCCATTCATCAGGTAATATTGGATCAGCTCTCAGTAATATGGATTCAGGCAAAAACACAGGATGGATTATTGACTCCGGAGCCACTGATCACATGACCTTTGATCAGTCTCTTTTACAGGCTCCTAAAAAACCACATCGTTCACATGTGTCCAATGCAAATGGTGTATCATCTCCAGTTACTAGTGCTGGAACTGTTGTTTTGACGCCCTTCTTATCTCTATAGCATACATTATTTGTTCCTTCACTATCAAATAATCTCTTATCTGTGTCTCAAGTAACTAAATAATTAAATTGTCTAGTATTAATGTATCCCAATTTCCGCATTTTTCAGGACCTCATCAGCAAGGAGATTATTAGGTGTGGTACTATAAGAGGGGGACTTTATTATGTAGACGATGTATGTCGTGGTATTGCTCTAACCAATCAGGGTTCCTCTTTTGTTATACGACACCAAATATGGATGTGGCATCGAAGATTTGGCCACACTTCTTTTGGCTACATTAAACACTTATTTCCAACAATGTTTTTGGATTGCAATCTCTCTAATTTTCATTGTGATATTTGTGTATTAGCTAAAAGTCATCGCACCACTTACCCTTGAGTACTAGTAAGGTGACTGAACCTTTTGCATTGATTCACTCTGATGTGTGGGGTCCTTCTCTAGTTTATACTTCCTCTGGATATCGTTGGTTTGTAATCTTTGTTGACGACTGTAGTCGTATGACATGGCTATATCTAATGAAGAATAAAAGTGATGTTTCTGAATGCTTTCGCTCATTTCATATGATGATACAAACCCAATTTTCAGCCAAATTGAGAGTTCTTAGGTCAGACAATGGTGGAGAATTTGTTAATCAGGTTTTGCAGTCTTATCTCCAAATTTATGGCATCATTCATGAAACAACACGCTCATTTACACCTAACAAAATGGCGTGACGGAGAGGAAAAATCGACATATATTAGAAGTCACGCGTGCATGTTTGCTTGGTGCTCATATGAAATCTACATCTTTGGGGGGATGCTATTTTGCATGCTGTTTATTTAATAAATGGCGTGCCTAGTAGTATTCTCCATTTTAATACTCCCCTAAGTTATCTCTCCAGTTTGATTAACATCACATCTAATTTAAACTTGGAACCTCGTATTTTTTTGTGTGTTATTTTTGTTCATCTCCCTAAACATCAACGTACCAAGCTTGATCCGTGCATTACAATGTGTCTTTCTTGGGTATTTGCCTCATAAGAAAGGCTACAAATGTTATCATCCTCCCACCAGAAGATTGTATATGACTATGGATGTTACTTTTTCTGAAACTGAGATATATTTCTCTCAGGAGATATCTAATTCTCCTATTCAGGGGGAGAAAATTATTGAAGAGCAAAATTAGATGGTGTTACTTCCTGACAATAATCGTACAATTTCAGCTAATACATAGATTATCTCAAAAACTCCAAATCATGGTACTCCTGATCAAGTAGTACAACAAGAAAGTGAAGAGCCCCCCTCTCCAGTACCTATTGTACCCATCAATGACCCTCCTACTAATGATGTTCCTGAGATATATTACTACCAGAAAATGGGCCTATTGGAACGAATGTTTTTGTGACGGTTTAGAAACCATTCCTACAGATCAGTTATTGGAACGGTTCTAACCGTTGTAATATTACATGGGTGATACTAGCACACTTTGGCTATAAAACCGTTGCCATTAATTAGAAACCGTTCCCATAGGGGTTTATTTTTTGCAACGCTTATGCTAACCGTGCCAATAAATAAACCTGTTGCAACGGATCTTGAAAAAAATGCAATGGAAACGGTTGTTATTTCCCTCCTAAAATTTCGGCCCCCTTGAATTTTCGTAAAACTCGCGCTAGAACCCCTATTTTTACATAAATTTCTTTTTGTCTTAATTAATTTCTATACCTAATAAAATTAAAAACAACTAAAGGCTATCGAAAGGCCATCCCTCTCAAAAGGGACTTCACCCAGAACGACGACTCTGTAACAACCATCGAAAGGCAGCCACCATCCCGCCGGCTTTGCCACCATCCCGCCATCAACGTCCGCAGTAGAACCTCCGACTATGTAACAACTATGGCTATCAACAACCACCTTCTTCTACGGCCGTCAACAACAACCACCATCCCGCCGTCAACAAAATCGTTCCAGCTCTTTGACTAGTTCCAAGATTTGATTTTCTTTTTTCTTCACCCATAAACTTTATCTCCTCCACCTGAAACAACCACCTCCTTCTATTAATCCAAGCTCCACATTTTTAAACAGCCCCAAAATTTTAGGGTTTTTTCTCGACTAAGCTCGACCACCTCCTTTTGCAATTTCTCAATAGTTGAGCCATAATTTGCAGATTCCATTAGTGAGGAAGAAATTGCAACTAATAGCCGTGGGATAAATCGCGGTAAGTTTTTTTAATCTCTTTTTAATTTAAATTTTAGATAACCGCATTCGATAGTTGTGTTTTTGAATGAACATTTTAGTATTGATGCTCGTTATTATCCGATTCAACTGATTTTTATTTTTGGGAGTATTTGAGCGACATAGTATGATTGAATGCAAATTAAACACACTGGTGCATGTCTTTTCTTTGTTAAATTTTTTTTTTCTTGTTCAACTTAACAGCTTTAAAGCTGTGAGTTTTTTCTACTGAAGCTTTTAATCTAAGTAAGAGTTCTATTAGGATTTTGTTGTACTATAATTTCTCCCTTTTTGTTCTTGATATCTATGAGTTCTTAGCATATATGTGACCTTACTTAGCACAGTTTAATATCTTTTCATTATATACTGAAGTCAAAAGGTGAGCAAAAACCTAAATATGCTTGGTTGTTACAAGTAGATATCCATATCCCGCTAATGATTTTTCTCATTGTTAGCAACCATAAGCCAGAAACTAAAGGATATAGTTTCTCATTATTAGCAACCACAAGCCAGAAACTCCAGATTATGTGTTTGTCATTGTAACTTACCTTCAATTGATATGTTACAATGTTGTCCGAATAAGTCGTGTTAACTGGAAAATGGTAAGGGCTTTCAATCGCGAAATCTTTTTTTGATATAATGTTGACTTGGAATTTGCTAAGGAGCAGATATATGCTGTTGCAACTTTCTTTTCTTTCAGAACACTCTGAACTCATAGCTGATATGATATCTTATTGTCGAAGTCACCATTAAAATTGTATACACAAAGTGATGCATATCTCTACGTAGGTTAAACTGATCATATGTTTTCTTCTCAATGTGGAAAGTACTAACACTATTTGGAAATCATGAGCTTCTTGATCAGTTTTAGATTCCATCCGGAGCTATTTTTGGGCTAAATATTGTAGGCGAATTGTGGTTATTTATATTACATGAACTCACTTATAGGTGAGTATCTGATATAAGCACATCTAATTGCTATCTAGTACATCAAAGTAANAGCTCGTCACTACTGCTCAGTTCCTTAGTTATTTCTGTTTACACTGAGGTGGTTGTACTCATACTACACCCTGCACTTTATGTGTAGATCCAGGTGAGTTCGTTGAGTTCAGGCCGACTATCTGTAGAGATTGCAAGGTAGCTGCCAGCGTCCGCAGGACCTCGTTACTCTTTTTGTCATTTCTTCTTTTAGACAGTTATATATCTTAGTTCATAGTTTTAGACGCTCATGACTTAGTGACACCCCGATGTTTGGGGCTAGCTTCCGTAGTTATATTAATTATATTTAGAGTTGATTTAATTTATGAGAAATTTAAATGTTGGTATTGTTTTATTAAATCCTGAAAATTAATTAGTAGTAATATTTTGGGAATAGGCTTGCCTTGTAACACGATAGGCGCCATCACGACCATGGTTAGATTTTGGGTCGTGACGACACCGGTGTCTAGCATGACCGTGGGTCCTTGTATGTACTTATCCTGATATTGTTATGACTCTTCCGTGTTAATTGATGAATCCTATGCAATGTGAAGAGTATGAGGACTAATTATGAATTGTAAATTCTTTGGAGCGTTGGCTCGAATGATAAAAAGACTATTGAGTAAGAAATGAAAGAAATAGAAAGTGATATGATTAATCCCTTGCCGTGATGGTTTGAGTACTTTGATTATCTCCCTTGCCGGGATGTGAGAGTATTGTTGTTGCTCCCTTGCCGGGATTTAGCTGATAATTGTGTAATTCCCTTGCCGGGACATTTCTTATTATTTGTTTATCCCCTCGCCCCGTTTGGTTGTGATTACCGTTTTGGTGAGGAAGAGTGATAATGCACGTGCAGTCATTCCGTGCCATGCTTTGATTATATTTGCACGAAGGGTCATTTCGTGCCATGTTTTGATTATATTTGCACGAAGGGTCATTCCGTGCCATGCTTTGATTATTTATGCACGAAGGGACATTTTATAAATGCACGAAGGATCATTCCGTGCCATGATATGAGAGTTATGTGAGGGAAAGCACGAAGGGTGATGCCGTGCACTTTATTTGATTGCTTTTGGTGAGAATGAGAGTAAAAGCACGAAGGTTGATGCCGTGCAACTGTTGATTTTCCTGCTCTCATTAATTATTGTTATTGCCCTGTTTCTTACTTAAATTGTTGACTTTATATCCGGACTGTACTCCCCCATAGTATGCTTCCCTCCCTCTTAACTGTTTAATTTCTGTATTCTTTCCTTGTATTGCATATATATACATTGAACTGCACAGGTTGATTTGGTAGTCCTGTCTAGCCTCGTCACTACTTCGCCGGGGTTAGGCCAGGCACTTACCAGCATGGGTCGGTTGTGCTGATGCTACACTTCTGTGCTCTTTTGCACAGATCACGGTACCGGAGCAGCTTTTGGACCACAACAGTAGGATATTGATCGGGAGCTGACTTCAGTCCGGGGACTTACGAGGTTGCCTAGCTGGCGTTCGCAGGCCGGAGTCCCTGTCTATGTTTTCAGTTTGTTTTCATTGTACTGAGACAGACATTTATGTATTTCTATTCAGACTTGTTTGTAGCATTCTTTAGTAGTTCGTGAGCTAGCGACACCAGTCTTGGGTAGAGAAATGTTAAACTTTCGCATTTTGGGTTTTCAGTTATTTATGTTTTAAAGACTTCCGCTTATAGTTAAATGACTCGTGAATATTATTATTGTTGGGTTGTTATCGGAAAATGTTTAAATGCTTGGCTTGCCTAGCTCCGACAGTAGGCGCCATCACGACTCCCGATGGTGGGAAATCCGGATCGTGACACAAGGTCAGTACATAATCCACCAGTGCACTAATTCTGGTCAGCAGCAGCCCTTCTCCTACGACGCGTCCTCCTGTTTGTTGAGCTGTTGCCACCAGTGCAAGGGTGGTGGAGTCTGCAACATTTGCACAAGCAACTACCATAAGTTGTACATTATTTCCTGCTGCGAGCGCGAAGATGAACTCTGCTCCGTTTGGTTCTGTAGCTCTCTTTCCCTGAATCAGATCAACATAACATTAGTAACAACTTGAGGAGAAAAAATCATTTGAATTGTATATCAGATTGCAGATATGATAAGTTCATAATTGTACTTACCATGTTCATGGTTTTGAGAAAAGCTTTAGTGGCATTTTCAGCAAACCAACAACCCATTTTCTGTTTCTTTGTAATTTTCTCTTGATTTTGTTTTTCCAATTTTTGAAAGAAGCAGAGAGGTAGAGATGTATTTAAGCCTGCTTGGGTTAGTTTGGTAAGGCATCTACATTTATACATAGGGCAGGTAGAACCTATGTCCATATGGAATTTAATTAGTAAAAATTCTCAAGTTGGTGTTACAAAATAAAATATACTGGATATTAATAAGAAAGGACGGCTTTTTCTTTAATATTCATGGAATTAAGATTGCCACAGGAGAATTGCATAATGTCAAAATGTCCTGTTTCTTGCTAATACTGTCTTGTTTCTTCCTGTTTAAAACCTAATACTGTCCTGTTTCTTGCTGAGCTGCAACTTAACAGCAGAATTGTAGCAATTAAAAGTTGAAATCTAGCTTGTTTCTGATTGGTTTTCTCCAGTAATTTTGGCAGGTCTGCACGGGTGAGCTCTCAAGTTAGCTGTTTTTTGGTTTAAGTCAAATCTGCACGGGTGGATATGGTAATATCCTTTTTTCTTCCTATTGATGTGCCTATTTCAGTATTATTGGTATCCAACTTCTCTGTGACCGACTGAGAGTCAATGGTTGAGGTTGTAGTTGTGGTTGGGACTTGGTACTTATGTTTCAAACTTGATTGTCTTGTTTGGGGTTCCTGCGTTTTCGAGCATTGTACATTGCTAAGAAGTAGCTCTAAGGTTCATTCTTGTCGCAATTTTGGATTAGTGCTGCATTATATGTTTAGAATTGGACAGTGATATAGATATGTGTCTAAGTTTGCTGAGGACTTCACTGACTTGGTTAGAATGCGTATCAAAATCACACCTTCTAATTGGTCTGTATCTTAATAATCCTATCCAATATCCTTATCTCCACCACATATATCTGAATAACAAAATGTTTGAACATTTAATTTAACATTAGTTGACTGAAACACTAAGTTCTTAACAAATTAAAAACTACAGCATGTAGCAGACTTTCTATATAAAATTAAAAGTCAGAGTATAAATGTATTTTTGTACTTAAATAGTCTCCAGCACATAGAAATTACTTCACTTGGAGAAAAAAAATATACCTTTGACCTTTCCCAAGCTCTTTTTCTTATCCCCTTTGTGAGGTTGGTCACCATAACAGATCCCACAACTGCGGCTTGACCACCAGAGTAGCCTGCAATTCATAACAACAAGAATGGTAATGATGCTAGGATAGATAAAGAACAACCTCTAAAGAAAGCCATTACCCAAAATTTAAAGCTTACTCTTAACATTGTCTGCAGGCTTTTCAGCCCCAGCTTTTAATAAGTACTACTATAAAGTTGCTAGTTGCTGCTTCATTTTTCAAAATATTTTAAGTCCAAAAGTTGTTGCCTTTACATATTTAAGTGGGTAAGTGTAATAATCTTGATTTCTTGCTTTATGTTTTAACTTGTTTTAGAGGCTTCTGACTTTGTCAAATGTAATCTTGGAATAATATTGGAAGAAATTGAATTTGTAAGTTGCTTCTTCTATTGTCTAATATATATAGTCCAATGACTTGATGTCTTTACATATTTACCTGGGTAAGTTCAAAGATCTTGATTTCTTGCTTCATATGTGCCCTTTCTAGATGTTTATTACTTAGTCAATATACTCTGTATTAGATTGGAAGATTTGATTTCTAAAGCTGTTTTTTTAATATATAATTCATAAAAGTTAGCTGCTTTTACAACTTAGTTGGGTGTAAGTGTAGTGATCTTGATTTCTTGCTTCAAATGGAAGAAATGTACAATCAGATCATGTTGTTTTATTCATAAAAGTTAGCTGAAGCTGTTCCATTACTTTTATTCAGATCATGTTGTTTCATTCATAAGTTTAAAACTGTTAATAACTTTATTTATCCTCTTTTGTAGGTGGAGTAGATCAAGAAATGGATGATGAAGAAGAACTAGACCTTACTTGAGATAGAATTTTGAATTGTTATAGATGAATGTTCTAGGAATCTTTTGTTATCAACATTTTTGAAACTTACTCACTCTCTTGAAATGTACTAAACTTATGCACTTGGGGTACAACATTTGCTTTATGGATATTATTTGCTTGAAGGATATTTTTATATTATTAATAGTTTCATTTTATGATGTATTTAAAAACTAGTGTTATTAGGAGTATTACTTTGTTATATATATAAATATTTATTTATAACAGGTGCTATATTTCGGTTTTAATTGAGCTGATACAATAGCCTACCAGAACCGTTGCAATAGGACACAAATGACGTTCCAGTAGACAATGTAAACCGTTGCAATAGATCCTATAAAATATTCCAAATTGATATATAAACCGTTCCAAATACAAATATAACCGTTGTTATATCCATACATAACCGTAACAATAGCTTACATAAGTGTGCTTTAAATAATATGGTAACGGTCAAGAACCGGTGTGTAAACAATATAATAACGGTTTTAAACCGTTGCAGTTGAAAAAAAAAATGTTCCAACAGAGAAGGTGAAAACCGTTGCGATAGACGTATCTATAGTCACGGTGATGCAAACCGTTACACGAACCGTTCCAATAGGCCTATTGGCTTGCGAGCGGATTTAAAGGGTTATAAACCGTTCCAATATACCTATGGGAACGGTTTGACAGTCTATGGGAACGGTTGTCCAACCGTTACCGTAGACTAATTTTTCAGTACAGTGAAGTATATCGAAGCATCAAATAAACTGGAATAACTCTTATTTATTTTATGTAAGTGTTAATGTCATGACCCAGATTTTCCACCATCGGGAGTCGTGATGGCGCCTACTGTTGGAGCTAGGCAAGTCAAACATTTAAACATTTTCGGATAACAACATAACAATAATAAAATATCGAGCCTTTAAATAAATGCGGAAGTCTTTTAAAACATAAACAATTGGTAACCCAAAATGCAGAAGTCTAATATTTCACTACCCAAGATTGGAGTCGCTATCTCACGAACTACTAAAGAGTGCTACAAACAAGTCTGAAAAGAAAAAAAAATACATAATTTCTGTCTCGGTACAATGAAGCAAATAGAAAATATGGAAAAGGACTTCGGCCTGCGAACGCCAGCTAGGCTACCTCGTAAGTCCCTGGACTGAAGAGGGCTCCCGATCAACTACTGCTGTGGCCCAAGAGCTGCTCCGGTACCGTAATTTGTGCAAAAAGCACAGAAGTGTAGCATCAGCACAACCGACCCCATGTGTTGGTAAGTGCCTGGCCTAACCCCGGCGAAGTAGTGACGAGGCTAGACAGGACTACCAATTCAACCTGAGCAGATATTTATATACAAGTACTACAAAGAAAAAAATAACAGCGGAAAGTAATAATTTAGACTGGGAGGGGAGCATACTTTTGGGAATAACAGATAAAATAGAACGGTAGGAACAAATAAGGAAAACTACAACCAAATCTCTTCTAACACAGAATACGTGGTCGGCGTGCCACACGATCCCAGTTCATGATATATAAGTGGTCGGCGTGCCACACGATCCCAGTTCATGATATATAAGTGGTCGGCGTGCCACACGATCCCATTTCATGATATATAAGTGGTCGGCGTGCCACACAATCCCATTTCATAATATATAAGTGGCCGGCGTGCCACACGATCCCATTTCATAATATATAAGTGGTCGGCGTGCCACACGATCCCATTTCATAATATATATATATAATGATTTCCCGGCAAGGGAAACAAGTATCAATTCAACCATCTCGGCAAGGGAGAATACAAATAAACAGTTAATTCCCGGCAAGGGAGCAACAACAATCACTTACTCGTCCCGGCAAGGGAGTAATTACATCTCTTCCTCTTTCGTTCATTTCTTACGTCCTAATCGTGTCAAAATTCGAGCCAACGCTCCAAGGAGTTTACAAATCATATTTTTCTCTTCATATTGTTCACATTATATTGAATCCATCAATTAAACAAGGAAGAGTCACCACGGAATCCCACATAAGCACAAGTAAGGACTCACAGTCATGCTAGACACCGGTGTATAGATACTCGTCACCATGCCTATACACCGTATTGAACATTTAGCAATTAGCAAATAATACTCTGATCCTATTTCCTCAAGCCAAAGTTAGATCAAACACTTACCTCGGTCCAAAGAATAGCAATCAATCCTCAAATACCGCCTTTCCTCTACAATCCGACTCCGAAACAATGGTATCTAGGCATAATTGATTAAATAATATCAATTAGGGCTCAACAACATAATCCCATAGCCTAGAAATGAGTTTTCTAGCATTCTTCCAAAAATACCAAATTACGACACAGGGCCCACATGGTCCAACACGAGGCTCGGACCAAAACCCGAACTACA